CACTTAATGTTGTGTATCCATATATATATCTTACATGTTTCATCAGTGCTATGTTATTACCTTTACACATGAGTTATATAAAGATATATATATCTTACATGTTTCATCAGTGCTATGTTATTACCTTTACACATGAGTTATATAAAGATATATATATCTTACATGTTTCATCAGTGCTATGTTATTACCTTTACACATGAGTTATATAAAGATATTGTTCAAATATGTCACTTTAAAAACATGTAACCAGTACGTTCTTCTACAGTTTCTCTTGCAGAAAGTAAGTAATCCTTGTGTTGAAGTTAGACTAGAAACACACAGTTGATTCTACTTAGTCATTTGTGTGTTCTGAATTTTACCTATACATGAATGAAAACAACTTCCAAGCTTATCAATGTCTGTTTCGTTCTTGTTTTAGTCCATATTGTTTACACGATGGATTTCATGGAAGTGTAGGTTAATATTTTTGAGAAAACTAATTTTGGTCATTCTGTATTTAGATGTTTTGTTGAAGAGATGGACCTGGCAGGAATGCAGGTTGATGTTGCCCTGCGGAAGTTTCAAACCTTTTTCCGAATGCCTGTAAGTGAACAGTTTATTTATTTTTTGTAAAGAAAACATGCAACAGTAGCCAGGTAATGAACATCACGAACATTTGTATATTTATTGAATACAATAATCAAATTAATTCTATATAATTATATTTAATTATCGTCGTAATTTATAAGTTGTATCTTGAACCAATGGAGATTCAGATAACAAAGTAGTCTGATGTTGTCATTATTAACGTAAGTTTGTTGATCCTGTTTTCATTTTCTGGGTCAAAGGGTGAAGCTCAGAAAATCGAAAGACTGGTGGAGGCCTTCAGTCATCACTATATCAAATGCAACCAAGAGATTATTTCCAAACTTCACAACCCTGAAACAATTTTTGTTTTAGCTTTTGCTATAATTATGCTGAACACCGACCTTCACACACCAAGCATGAGAGCTGAGAAACGAATGAAGTTGGAAGACTTTATAAAAAATGTGCAAGGTGAGTTAGTAAGTTCATGTCTATTTAGGATAAATAGTTACATAAGTGAAACAAAAAGTTATGACACAAATATTTCATTTAAACTTAAAGTTTTCATAAAATGAAATTGGACAGCTGTGATGATAAATTTATATTATTTTGTAGCCTTTATAGCATATTAGAAAATTATTTTGTAAGTCTCAAAGAAGAAGCTTCAAAACTTAGTTAAGTTTTTACTTTTGATACTTGAGATCATGGAGTATGTAGAACATTAAATTATTGGCACAATCCACTACTGTATTTGATATCAGAGAATAAAATATTCAATAAATTGATATGCATTTCTGTAAACTATGATCTCTAGCAATTTTAAATGTAACAAACCAAACTGTCATCTCTGTGTAATAATCTTTTTTACAGGAGTGGACGATGGAAACGACCTAGATAGAGACATGCTCACAGGCGTGTATCAAAGAATCAAGGCAAGTGAGTTTAAACCAGGGTTCGATCATGTTTCTCAGGTGATGAAGCTACAACAAACGATTGTTGGTAAGAAACAGGTATGTGTTAAAATCTTTTAAAGTTGTTAGTTTAATTGTGGATACCACGGGCCTTCTATACTTAACATCTTTAGTTACATAACAGGAACAAGAAAGAATTGGAATGCTATTAATATTTTTAGAACTAAATACATTTAATATGAAGTGATAAAGTCTGTAGTTTTACTGAACTGTCTGGGTTTGTAAAGTTGTTTCCACTAAGTTACTGGATACACAACATTGTAGTGTATGAACTGTCTGGGTTTGTAAAGTTGTTTCCACTAAGTTACTGGATACACAACATTAAGTGTAGTGTATGGACTGTCTGGGTTTGTAAAGTTGTTTCTACTAAGTTACTGGATACACAACATTCCAACATTAAGTGTAGTGTATGAACTGTCTGGGTTTGTAAAGTTGTTTCTACTAAGTTACTTATTTATATAACTCATGTGTAAAGGTAATAACATAGCACTGATGAAACATGT